TGAGCAGACAGATTCTTCCCCTAGAATTTCTTGGTCTTGGAAAAGTCTGACTCACTGGCTTTGGTTGGTACCACTGCCTTCTCAGCTCTGCCCTGGGTCACATTTCTAGATTTCTTCCCCTCGAGATGGTTCACTGAGCTTATCCCAGCAGAACCACCCTCTCTCTACTGGGGCAGTAAAGTCCAAGAGCCCATCCCTGGTGTCAGGGAATTGTTGGGCTAAGTCTCTGATGAAGCTCTGTAGTACACATTTGCATCTCCAAATTCCAACTGCACAGAATTCTTTTAATACTGATACCTATAATATGGGGGGAAAATGTAATTTCCAACTTGCTAGATATCAGATATGCCAAGTTTGCGTTCACTAAAATTGAAGAATGAACTCTAAGGAGCAAGGCAGACATAGAGTCAGAAAATTTATTTTCACAGCTTTATATAGCAAAGTTATGAGGATGGTTACAATGTGGGTTGAAATTAGAATGCATCAATACTCTTATGAGTTTAGCACTTTGATAATACTGTTCCACTATAGGTAGAACATTGGGATGACGTCACTGACCTTGGCCAATGTTCCATAATGTAGTTTCTGGCTTAGACTTAGTCTCAGTGAGTAGGAGAGGACCAGCCATGCTTGATGGGATCATGGTCCATATACATGGGATATCCCAATGTGTGAACATAAAACTCAAAGTATGTAAATCTGACTATTATAACTTTAGTCATCAGATACACCTCCAGCCAAAATTTTTTTAAATTAATTAATTAATTTATTTGGCACAGGGTCTCACTCTGCAGCTTGCACTCATAGTCATCCTCCTGTCTCTGCCTCCCCCGTGCTGGGATGGTAGGCGTGCACCACCATGCACATTTTTGGTGGCCTGCATGACACAGGGCTGGCACGGCCTACAGTACTATGGATCACACCAAGGTCTTTGTGCTTTACAGGCAGGTGCTTAGATTGCCAAGCTATTTCACCCGCCATCCAGCTACAGTTTTGATGCATTCTCAACTTCTGCACTGGCAGAACCAAGTCTGACTGCCTATAATATTTCTACCTGATATAGCTATCCATAATATCAAGATACCTAAGGAGACCCAACATTTTGAGATTATTTAGACCTTTCACAGAGTTCCACTGAGAGTAGCATCCAAACCTGTGCGGCCTCGCTTCTTCCTTCTCATAATAATTTGGGCAGGTGCTTATGCCACTGAGCTATTTCTCCTACATGCACACAGAACTTATATCAGAACTAACTCACAAACTCACCGCAAGTTCGATGCCAGCCTGAGCAACATGGTGAGATTAAGGTCATCTTGCATGGCCTAGGAAGACTTTTTCTCAAACACAAAATCATTATTAGTATTATAATTTAGACCTGAT